AGGGCCAGAAGTGGACTATTTTGACTGGGGATAGCAGCTGTATTTCAGGTAACATCAGTTCTCCCTTTTTTAGTGCAAATAACGCTACTGTGACTGCGTATCATCTGGAATCACCCCTAGCTCGATTGAAGAAATTTTGTCTGCTGTTTTATAACTATTGCATGTTTGCCAGGGCTCAAATAAAGAATGCTTCTCCTTAGTGGCTTATCTATTTCCTCTTCTATGAAGGGAGCAAAAAGTTCATATTCAGCCGAAACACTCCCAGGTTATGCTGATGTTAACTGGCTGCCTGGCTCCGCTAGCCCCTATGGTTATTCCAGGCAGCTAGTGACTCTCTCACCGATATAGGGTATAATTTCGACCATGTAGCGATCTGTACCTTAAGAACTTCTTGTTGAAATGTTCCTCAGTTGTATTAATCGATAGCATTGTATTTTAGTTTGATGTGAATAAGAATGAACTATTCCGTGACTGGACGTGATTATTTGATAATTACATTAGTTCTTGTTTTTCTGTGAACTGAAGATTTGCGTTTGGAGTAAAACAAAATCGTTCCTCTTCGATTTTTCATGAGATATTTAGCTTTATTCCATTTATCTCCAGCAGTAAGGAACAAAATACACATCTTTCCTATATTTTTGAGGAAACAAGGGTATCATGTTGCATGGCTCAGTAAGGAAATCAAAAGTATCAAGTTACATACGTCGGAGTGAAAAATAAAATTGTCATATTTGCCACTTCTACGTATTATTGAATTTAAAATGACTGAAACTCAGCATAAAACATCTCAATAAAATTCAAAGCCGTCTTGACAAACGATAATTGTAAGTTATTTTTGGGCCTGGAAAGAAAATACAAACATGAAACTTACACATTGCTAAGATTATGTCTTATCAAGTTTTTTTCTGCTCATATTCTGCAAGAGGAAAAGGCCTAGTTGACTACTAAGGGAAAGAACGGCAGGGGTGAGGACCTATGTGACTACTGTATCAAAGCCGTAAATTACACTCTGCACTATCTGAGATTGTCTCACTAGTTGTAATATATGGCAACGCAATATGTATAATGTCTCATACTTTGTTCAGTAAATCATTGTCACCGACATCTAATGTGGCCATTCTGGCTTAAACAAGCAAGCGCTCTAGAAAAGGTCGAAAGACTAGGAAAACTAGAAAGGATTGGGGGGTCAAGATTGCATTCGCTAGCGTCGAAGATGTGGGAAATGGACAGATGTCATTCATATCAGAGGATCGCAATAGGTCTCAAAGACCTCATACGGTCTCATGATACTAACGTAGTCAAGTGATAATGGACATGTTTGATAGAACCTGACAGTGTACAGAGTTGTTGCTATACATTACTTGAAACCTGACACAGCTATACGCACAGAAGGTTCATTTCTGCCCAACTTGCGGCTTTTGCGCTGGTCAATTTATGAGGTCAATTGAATTCCCGTATCCTGCTCTGTTCCCCTTGTGAGTCCCGCATCCCAATCCCATAAAAACACTAAATCCCACTCCTGCTCGTAATCGTAATTCCCGCTTCCTGCCCCTGTTTTCAGCTCAAATCCCAAATATCATGGTGAAAAAAAAGCCAAATCCCGCATCCCACCAAACCTATCAGGGACCCTCTGGGAGCTCCTTTTCATAAATTTTTTTTCAAACATAACTGAATGTAATTAAGTTTATGCCTCCAAAGTTCTACTATTCTTACTGCATTTGTACTAGCTTTGTGCTACTGTGCTTGTAGAGATGGCAAATCTACAGTGTATAGTATTTAACAAAATTATGGTGTTTTTTTTTACCTCTTTACTTCAAGGTGTTCCTGAGAAGATTGATCCAGCCTCACTCCCTGTTACTGAATCAGTATCAAGTTGGGTGTGGTTGATAGATCTTGAGAGGGCTTTGGCTCTTCTGGTAGGACAAACATTAGGAAGCATGCTGGCAGGCCCTGGTGTGTCTCATGAAGAGAAAGAATGTGAAAAGTGGCTCAGTTCTCCACTCCTGTGGAATGGTCTAGAAGACAGAGATCCTGAACGAGGTACTTGGTTTTCTTAATTAATTTTGCTCCTTATCAGGAATAATAATTGACTAGGGAAAAAAAAGTCAGCTGGTATTGCCCCAGCACAGTTAAGCAAAAAAAAGGTTCACCAACCCAAAGAAAATGAACCGCCTAATTATAGTTGAAATCAAAACTGAACTGAGATGATTCAGATCAGAAATTAATTGCAACACATAAATGTCATGGTTGAGTGACTAACTGTTGATCCTTGTGATCAATTCGTTTATTTCGTGGACAGAAAAAGTCATGGTGGTATCGCTCTCCAGTCTTCAGAATGACTCAGTGCCTGATAAGGTTGAAGTGACAAAGTTTAATCTTCCTGCTGACATTTTATTGCTGCTGGATTTGGCTCACGGCCCTGAATCTGATGCTGGTCATAATCTTTGGGTGAAAATGCAGAACTATGCCAAAAACAGAGGTGCAGTATGGTATTCTTTTTGTTTAATCTTTGAGCATGTCAATCTAGTTCTTTGCTTAATTTTTACTTTATTATTAATTATTGTGAAGGTTACACTGGATCCTAAATTGTTACCAGTTTTGTAAGAGCATTGAGATTATACTCATAATACGCTAGAAATAAATTATTATTGTTATTCTTATCGTTGTCATCATTATTATTATTGTCATTATCATTAACATTATTATTATAATTCTAATTCTGATTCTAATACTGGTAGTAAGAGTTAGGTAATTATTACTGTACTACTGGTGGTACATGTATAGCGTTACATTTTAAGAACTTTCTTGTGCACAAGCAGGGCTCCCAACTGAGTAATAAAATGTAATGATGTGAATTTTCCTTTTATACACACTTGCTGAAGGCTCAGAATATACTGAAAATTTGAAGTCAGTTGCAGGAAATTTCACAGTTTGCCACTTGGAAACATGGAAATTTAACATGCACATATTAATATAGCACATTATTTATTGACCTTTGTAGACTGGGACACAAGTGAGGTTGTGAATATTCCCCTTCTGGATACTGTGACTCGCTTCACATTTTCCTCTCTATTAAAACACAGTGGACTCTTACCAGCAGCTCTCAGAAACTCCAGGTGAACTAAGACATTATTTTCCTGGGAATTTGTTTTGTAGTGGTTTACCAACTGTTCAATGAAAATCAAACTCCCTCTTACAGGGCATTACTTGGTGGGTGGTGGTGGGGGGTTGAGGAGGAAACTGAAGAACCACGGTAGAGTATTTTTGACAAACCTCAACTGAGATGTTTGGAAATGTGGTCAGACACTGTCTTGAGTGTTTGAAATATCTTCTCAATCAAAACTGAAACTGAAGAGGAAATGGAGGAATCAAATCACAAAAATCTGTTCTAATTAAGATCACATCACAGTCACAATTTTGTTTTGAGCTGAGGTTTTAGTTCTTTTGAAGTATTCTGAAAAGTATGCGACTGTGTATTTATTGGAGTAATCACTGAGGGGAGCTTGGTCACAGGGAAATGCTTTCAAGAAGATCTTTATCAGTTTAACTGCCTGCATACATGTACATCATCTACGTCCATTGCGGAATTCAAACTACTAGATAAAATTTGAATGCTTTGCCGAATTATGTGAACCTCTCAATTAATCCAGTAGATTTGTATTAATGGTTCAACATAGTGAGTTTGGGTTAAGGCTAGGGGTGCAGATTAGGATTAGTTTCTATGGCTCAAGGTTAATTAGAGAAAGGTTTTAAAATTTAGAGAAACTATCCCATTCACTAACAGGAAGTACATGTAAGCCTTGAAGATGCAAAATTAGGTTGTCTTATCATAAAGGTAACCACATTAAGGCTTGTTTGAGTTTCTTTATTATTTACCTGATTTGTCTATTGACCGTTTAATTAAGCTATGAGGATTCAGAGTGACAGATGAGGTGTGCATGTACAGTAGGAGAAAGTTGCAACTTTTTTTTGCCTTAATTGCATTTTACCAGTAATTTTTGCATGTATGTACACGTAGTTTGATTTATTGTGAAAACCTCTAACCCCCTAAAGATAAAGCTGGAGCATGACATAATTATTATTTCATAAATCTCATAGTACCTGTTTGTTGAGTCCTCATTATAGCAATTTTTTTATAATATTTAGCTCAAATTAATATAATTATAAGATTTTTATGTAGATTTGTATAATAACATGAATACAAGAACTTTGAAAGCCTTACTCCTTTACATGTAGGTCCAAGGAAATGATTGAAATATACAAGAGCGTGTACTGTCTCCGTCAGCGATTGCTGTCTCTTAAAGACGGAACTAAAATTAAAAAGTCAAGTGGTATGGACATTTCTGGTGAACAGTCCTCTAGTGAACATTCTGAAGAGGAGGAATCATCATTGTTACAGCAAGAAGCTTCAAGCAGTGGTGAGCTACTGTATGCATTGTTTGAAAATTAGGGTAAATTATTTGGAGACTTAGAGATGTGTAAATATGAAATCCAATTTTTTTTTGGTGATGGATGCATTTATGTATTTGACCTGTGGCCCAATTGCTTAACCGTACCATGTTATGCAAAATGGTATTTTAGAACCTTTAGCTCCAAAATATGAGGCTTTGTTTGAAAAGTTAAACAGTATATCACTAGAAATATCTCTCTGAGTGCATTTGAAACATATATTCTTGGTATTTAATGTTTTGGTTATGGATGTAAGAGAAAGAAATCTACAGCACTTCAAATTTGAGACTTAAATGGTCACCAAAATCCTGTAGTGTCTGTACTGCCATGTGATTTACAAGAACCACTTGACTAAATGTAAAATAACTCTACATGTTTTTTGTTGTGGTTGGGTAATATACAAATAATTATGGTATTTATGGGGATTTTAGTTTTTAATTGTTGCAAAAAAAAAATAAATGGACACAATAACCAAAATGAAAAGCGGATTCATAGTGGCTCCAAATCTGCTCCAACCAATATTTTTTCAACTTTGCAGAGTTTAAAAGTTTATAGTCTAATATAGTCTAGTTTAAAAGTTTATATTGTTTTTGAGTGTTTGATGTCATTATAGCCCTCATGCATCAATTAAAATTGAGATGTAGCATTGATCAATAAAAGAACAAGTGCTAAAAAATGCTGGAAATTCTTATGAGCCACCTTAAGCCCAACCTCGTTCCCAGGGTCTCTCATCTTACCGCCCCCTGGAGCGAGCAAAGAGAGACCCTGGTTGGGTCTGGTCACGTGCCACTTTGACAATTTAGAACATCAGGGAGGGGTC